TGAAAAATTTATCTTTAAAAATTTATTTTTGAATAATTTGCTAATTAAATTTTTGAAATATACAATTAAAAAGATTTTGAATAATTGAAATTTTGTAAAATTTAATTGAAAATAAATAATTTTTTCAAGTATTTTATTACAATTTTAGAAAATTAATTTTAAAGAATTTTAATTGAAAATTTTAGAAATAATTGAATTATCCAAAATTTTAATAACTAATCTTCAAGGTGTAAATTCGATAAAAATAAAAATTAATAAAAATTAGGTTCTAAAAATAATATTAAAATAGTTTTGAAAAAAGTAATTCTCTGAATTATTTCGTTCTGATTTTTTAAAATTAAATTATTTTCAATATTTATAAAAATTCACATACACACACAAAATAATAACGTTAAAATTTTCTAGAATTATTTTTAATATTTTTAGAGAAAATAATCATATTTAACAATTTTAATTAAAATTCTTCAAATAATTTTTTTTTTAATTATACAAAAATTCTTTAATTAGTTTCGAAAAATTACATTACAATATTTATAAAAAACTAATTCTTAGAATTGTTTTATCATAATTTTTTAAGATTCAATTACCTTCGAAAAAAGTAAATTAAAATTTTTTAAAAATTTACTATTTTAGAATTTTTGAGAAATTATTTACAATTAAAATTCTTCAAAAATTTGATTATTTTTTTATATTTTTTAAAAACTTGATTATTTTTCAAAGATTTTATAAAATTTCAATTATTTTTTAAAGATTTTACTAAATTTAAATTATTTTTTAAAAGATTTTATCAAATTTCAATTTTTTTGACATTTTTTAATTGTAAGTAATTGTAGAAATGTTGTCTTTCAAAAATTATTTAGAAATATTTTTAAATAGTTAATTTTACGAATTTCCTTATTAAAATTTTTGAAAATATTCTACCTTAATATCTTTAAAAAGAAAAATGAATGGTTTCAATTATTATAAAAAATTGAATTTTTGTATTTAAATAATTTAATTCTCGAAGAACTTTTGGAAAATTATTTAAAATTAATATAAATAATTGATTTAGAGATGAAGTTTTGTTAAAAATTGTAGAAAACAATTGAATTTTTGTAAGGATTATAGTTTTAATTTTTAGAAATTATTAAATTTTAGAAGTTGAAATTTTTTAAATTTTATTTCCTATAAAAAAAGAAATAAGAAGTATTTAAATATTTATTTAGCAAAATTATACAAGTTTTGATTAACTGAATTTATAAATCAGGGAAATACAAAATAAAATTTTTGTGACAACACTAAATTAAATAAACGACTTTTTTTATATTTTTAATCGACTTTTTTTGTTCGTTAAAGTCAATTCGAGGTCTGTTTTCTTTATGTAAACTTTTATTAATTGCTTATAATTTTATGAAGTAGAATTATTAAATTAGGGGGTAATTATGCAATTTTATTTTTATTTTGACTTCCATTTTCACTTTCACAGATTTTTTTTCATTTGCACTTTGATAGATTTTAATTTTTATTCTTTAAAATAAAATTTAAAAATAAAATTAAAATTAAAATTTTTTATTTTATTTTATTCAACACAAAAATGTTTATTCTTATTTTCACTTTTCGCTTGATGAGTTTTTATTTTCTCTTTAATATAAATATAGTAAAAATAAAATTCTTACAAAGTGAAAGTGTAAAAAAAAATTTATCAAAGTGAAAATGAAAGTGATAATAAAAATCTTTCAAAGTAAAAATGTCTAAATAAAAATCTATCAAAGTGAAAATTAAAGTCAAAGTATAGAGATAAAATTACATAATTATCCCCCCAGTAAAACACTGAAGTCAAGTAATTTCTTTTCCCTTTTTTTTGAAACACAAAAATTATCATTTCGAGATAAGAAGCAATTTTAATAAGATAAGAAGCAGCTAATTTTTATAAACGAAAATCAACCTAATTTTTCTATATTCCAAAGAGACAACAAATTCTTCCACCCTTCGGTGCCCTATATAAATATTATTGAGGCGTAAAATTCAAAATCCAATATTCTCCGGTTACGTAAAAAAAAAATATCCAAAGTATCAAATAAATCGATATAAAAAAAAGGAATAATGTACGAAGGCACATGACCGAATTTCATGAGAAATAAACCCTAAAGGGGGGGTTGTCCACTCTCCTTCTTCTGATTCCTTCAATTCGTAAAAAACGAATGTCTCGAAGAAATTGGAAAGTATTCTAAGCGCCCTGAGGCGTTTCGTAAAAGTGGAAGAATAATCATAAATATAAAGGGTGAATTTGCTCTTATCAGCGAGGAAATCGAGTAAGCCTTCGATCTTCTACCCCTTCTTTCATATAAACAGCACAAGACTTGATAGAAAATGCGAAGGGGGGGGGGAGGAGAGACTATTGGTGATTCTCGCTTCAAGTTTTATCGCGACTCATAAACCGTTTTGCTCAAGAATCATTTCGTATTTAACGCACACTTGACCGGGACACATTTCGTGCGGTAATGTCATTTCGTATATATATTCTCTTTTTTTTCTTTCATATTTTTTTTTTTTTCAAGAAAGAAAAAAATTTGTATTTTATGTGACACGACGAAGATACTAGTGCGACATTAAATGTAGATATAACAGCCGCGTTTTCTATACGCATTAGTCTCTTGATGGAATTTGAAGACCGTCGCGGAACATTTTATTGAATGACATTACGATTTTAAGGGCTGACATGAAAAATCACTATCAGAAAAACACGTAACAAAAAAAATTTTACAGAAATTATTTTGATTAAAAAACGGAGACAAAAAATATTAATGGATCTTTTTGGAAATTAACGACATTTTGGAAAATTATTAGACTGGAAAAAAATTTATTTGATTCAAATAACTGATTACTTGTCTATTATTTATCAAATAAATATTTACTCGAATAAAACAAATTTTATTTAATAAAAATAATAATTAAATTATTATTAATAATTAATAATTAAATTTATAATTTATTAAATGGTATTTGAACCAAATAATGGGGGTATTTTCAGTATTTGAAGCAAATAATATTTAACTGACTCAAATAAAAATTATTTGCTTCAAATAAATATTTGTTTAAAAATAGACGAAAAATCGGTTATTTGAATAAAATAAATTTTTTTCAGTGTATTACTTGTCCATTTTTAAATAAATAATTACCTGATTTTTATTATTAAACATAATATTAATTACTATTATTTTAATTCATATTAAATAAAAAATATATTTTTTTGTAATTAAATAATAATTTCTTCAAATACTAAAATTATGGGTTTAAATACACTTTTGTTTGATTAAAATATAATTTACTTGATCCAAGTAAATATTTATTTGAAAATAGACGAGAAATCGGTTATTTGAATCAAACAAATTTTTTTTTAGTCCATTACTTGTCCATTTTCAAGTAAATAATTACTTGATTTTTATTATTAAATAAAATATTAATTAATAATAATTTAAATGATATTAAATAATTACCTAAATTTTATAATTAAATGATATTTGCTTGAAATACTGAAATTTCGTTGAAATACAATTTTTTAGTTCAAATATAATTTACTTGAATCAACTAAATATTTATTTACTAATAGACAAGAAATCGGTTATTTAAATCAAATTAATTTTTTTCAGTTTATAACATTAAATATTGAAATTGAAAATAGATAAATTATTTATTATTATTTTTATCAAATTTTTTTTCTGATTCACAATGAGATACATTTTATTCTAAAGAAAATACAAAATTATTTAAGAATCGTTGCTGAGTAACATTATTTTCTTATTATATTTAATTTAATAATGCTGAAAAATTGTTGAAAATAAAAATTATTTGAATCAAACAACTGATCATTTTTCAATTATCAAAAAAAATATTTACTCAAACCAAATAGTTTTTATTAATTTATTTACAATTATTATTATTAATTAATATTTAGTTAATAATAAAAAATTAAATTGATAAATAAATATTAATATTGAATAATATTAGTACATATTTAATTATGAATTAAATTAATTAATAATTAATAATTATACCTGAATAATATTATTTATTTATATTTTATTAATCAATTAAATCGAATAAATTGTATTTGAGACAATAATTTCAGTACTTTGAAGCAAATAGCATTTTATTGACAAAAATAAAAATTGTATAACTAATAGAAATTATATAATAAAAATAAATATTTATTTTACACTAGACAAGCTTTTGTATAAATTAAATAAAGTAATATTATTATTCTTTCGATTTATTACAAGTTTAACATTACTATCTATATAAATAATTAATAATACAGTAAATGAAAATTGTATTAAAAAGTATGATTTGAATTTTCCCGCTGAACGGTAACATTGATTACAGTGGTTGGCAATGGTGGCAGCACTGCTCTCTACGACGTTCACACGCCACGCCAATTCACTCATAACTGTCATGGCGTCGTTAGTAGAAGAACGATTGACGTGTTGGGAAAATTTTAATCTTTTTATTTTGTGTTAATCCTATCGCATGACATGAAAATTTTACGGTAATTAACTTTGTTTTATCGTAAATAATTGATATATTGCAAAAGTTTTAGGAAAAAGATGAATAATAGTAATATTTTTAGAGACATGTAAATGTAAATGTCAATTTTTGTCGGAATTAAATTTACTTGAATCGCGCACATTTTGTCGAAACTATCAGTATTTTTGTATAATTGAGATTGTATTTGGCCATATAATTAATATTTTCTAATAATAACAATGAAAATTATAAAAATATTTTTTTGTAAATATGTACAATTGTACGTTTCACCTCAAAAGAATTGCAAAGAGCCATCTAGCGGTGAAAAAGTTAACTTTTCTGTACTTTCTTCATATTACCGACACTTGACTCTTTTATCATGTCAAAAATTGTAAAATACTTTTTTTTTATTATAAATATTTATAAATAAACTATGGTAATTCGATTTAGAGAAAGATAATTGAAATTATAAATTTGCATAATTTTTTTGTTCACAGATTCCAAGAAAGTTTTATTATCCGTGATGATGCACTTGGACACCACCTGTCAATTGAGGTAAATATTTTTTGATCGTTTGAGTATTTTATTTACTTTATTCATTTTTTTATTTTCTTTTACTTCTCTTTTATTTTTTTTCTCGAATCTAATGCAAAGTAATTATATTTTAATAAAGAAATTTCATTAACCATATAAAAATTAATATTTGTCCAACGTTCTTTTGTTAAAATAAATTAAATAAATCAATATTATTTTTCCTTCTATTTATTAATAGTTTAACATTATTTTGTGTATAAATAATACAGTAAATGAGAATTGTACTAAAAAGTATGATTTGAATTTTCCCGCTGTACAGAAACAATGATTGGCAAAGGTGGCAACACTGCTCGCTGCGACCTTCACACTACACGGCAATTCACTCATAAGTGTCATGGCGTCGTTAGTGGAAGAACGATTGACGTGTTGGGAAAATTTTAATCTTTTGATTTGGTGTTAATCCTATCGTATAACATGAAAATTTCACGGTAATTAACTTTGTTTTATCGTAAATAATTGATATATTATAAAAGTTTCAGGAAAAAGATGAATAATAGTAATATTTTTAGAGACATGTAATTGTCATTGTCAATTTTTCTCGGAATGAAATTTACTTGAATCGTGCACATTTTGTTGAATACTCTCAATATTTTTGTTAATTGAGATAATATTTTTTCATATAATTAATATTTTCTAAAAATAACAATGAAAATTGGAAAAATAGTTTTTTCGTAAATATATGTGTAATTGCAATATTGTACATTTAACCTCAAAAGAATTGCAAAGAGCCATCTAGCGGCGAAAAAGTTAACTTTTTTGTAGTTTCTTCATATTATTACCGACAGACGGCTCTTTTATTGGTTTTATTCTTTTATTGTCAAACAATTTGACAGTTTTAGATTAAAAATGTTAAAAATAATAAATGTGAGATTAGAAATAATCAAATATTGTGAATAAAAAAAAAGTAAATAAACTAATGCAATTTTAGGGAAAGAAATCATTTAAATTATATATTTGAAAATTTTTTTTGTTCACAGATTCCAAAGAAAATTGCCAGTGTTATTATTTGTGATGGACAAATTTATGAGTTCCGAAACTGCAAAGTTAGGTTATGTTATTAAAATATTCAGAGTTTTGATGGAAAAAAGATGGAAACTATTTTATAAAATCATTGATGAGCTCCGAAACTGCCAAGTGAGATTATTTTATTAAAATATTCAGACTTTTGATGGAAAAACCTGGAAAACTATTTTTAAAAATTATCGACGAATTCAGGAATTTGAAATACATCATCAACATCAAATTTTCGGTGAGTCCAAAATATTAATATTTCTACAAAGTGAATTTTGGGGTGAGTCCTAAATTAATATTTCTACCAAGTAAATTCTAATTTAGTTCCATCAAAAAAATTTTTTTTTTTATTTCCTTTAATAAATTTTAAAAAGAATTTCTCTAAAAGAAAAATAAGAAAACTGGGTCGTCAGAGAGAAACGCGCGAAAATGACTAATTTTCCTTTTAGAATGAGTTATTTATTTCTTTCAACTCATTTTCACGAGTTGAACTGCACTAGATTCGCTAAAGGTAGATGTGTAATGTAATATTCACGAGAGGGTCAGTACGCTTGAAGGGAACCTTGTTCGACACAGTAGACGACCCCGCTGGCCTGATAATACTTTGAAAATATTTAACTTCCCTTTTTGCACAAATGAAAATGAATAATTAAACAAAAAAAATCCAATCTTAAATTCTTTGTCACTTTTATATTAATATAAAGGGGAGAAAATATTTCTATATTTGAAATTCACGTCTTCATTTTTCTCTTCTATTTTATTTTTTTATTTTATTCTTGCAATGTTAGACGCGAGAAATTTTCTCAAGTGTTTACTTTTCAACACTGATTTTTATTCCATTTGGCAAAAATTATTATTTGCCTTTCCAGCTTGAAATCAAAAGGTCGTATTTTTATTCGCGTATGACAGAATTTCATCTCGGTATAGAAAGTGACATTTATTTTCCCCTCTCTGTCGACGTTTATTTTGTTTCGAGTGACAGAATAAAAAAAAGTGGTGGGGGAGGGGAAGATTTCCAGAAATAAGCTTTTATATTATTATTTAATAAAAAGTGACAGAAGGAAAAATTAAATTTCCTAATTGTCGAGCATTGGATTGTAGATTTTAGTTGATTTTAAATTGTACATTGAGAATATGTTAATAGTAAAATAGATAAATATTGAGATTGCACTTGGCTTTTGAAGTTTATGGAGACAGTTGAGGGAAATTGCAAGGAAGCACTTTCATTAAGAATTGAAAGCCAGAGCTTCGATCTCTGTTACTTTTGTCTTTGAGTTAAGAATCTCATATAAAGGGATTTACTTACTGTTAGAAAGCGGTACTGTAGAATGAATAATGCCTCAACTTTCAAAGAGATTTTTTTTTTCTTTTTCTCCAAAAAACTAAAACGTGTCTGATGTTTACTACTTTTCTATTTTTCTTTTTGTCCCCTAAGTTTTTTTTTTGAATTGAAAAACAATTTTAAAATATATTTCTTGCGTTTGATTTTTATACTAACTTCATTTCAAGAAAATGGAAATTTATTTTAAAACATAGAAAAAGTTCTTTTTATTTCTTAAAATAACAAAGAAAAACTTTTTTGGTTCGATCAATCGTAAAATTTTCAACTTGAAACTTTTTTAACCCCATGAGAAAGAAACGGAAATTTTTACTGTTCTCACTTCAGTGAACCGAATAGAAAAAATAAAGAAAATGTTCCTATATTTTTATTGAAAATTTGAATAATATTTTAGAGTTTTGTGTAATTTATTAGGGGAGCAATAAAAATTGGTAAATATATAGGCGATGAAAATGGAAATAAAAAGAATTGTTTGATGAATTTTTTTAAATATTGAAAATATTTATTTACACTCTAAAGAAAATTATAACTTTTATGAAATTGGGAAAATAACTTTAATGAATCAATTCGGCATTAATTGGAAAATTTGCCGATTATTTTTTGCTAATTAGTTATGCAAAAATTAATTTTGCCGTAAATATTCATAATAACTCGGAAAAATTACGTTTTTTGCATTTAGAATAGTTAGTTTTTTTATAAAATTGTTTAAACAATTTTTAACTATCACGACAAAATCAAAATATTTGAAGACACAATTTCAGGTCCACGACAAATTATTCACATTTAATTTTAATTATTAAATGCTAATAACTTGCAAACACTCATTTTTTCCATTTTATTCATTTTTTTACTAAATTGCGTTTAAATAATTTAATATTTAATATTCCTTCGCCATTCTTTCTTGTAGTTGAGATAAATCGTAATTTATTTAAAATTTAATAAATTGTTTAATTAATTAATTTAATTTGTTAAATGTCAATTTATTTATTTAAAGTGAAGCACAATGGAAAAATTATTTGTGAATAATTTTATTTTTTATATTACCTATTCAAAATAATTTTTTTGAAATTGAATAATATAATTTTCATTTCAAATAAATTGAAAAAAATATTAAATAAATTACTAAGTTTTGAATAAATTTCAATTAATTTCAGCAACACTAAAAAAAATTTATTTTGATTGAAATAACCGATTATTTGTCTATTAATTAACAAATGAATATTTACTTGAATCAAATAAATTATATTTGAATCAATAATTTTTGGATTTGATTCAAATACCATTTAATTGACTGAAATAAAAATTATTTGATTCAAGTAAGTATTTAATTGACGATAGTCAAGTTATTTGAATCAAATAATTTTTTTCCAGTGTAAGTTATTAAATTATTAAATTATTTAAACAATTTAGTAAAAAAATAAATTAATCAAAACGGAAAAAGGGAGTTCTTGTCAAAATAGTTTAAACAATTTCTTACTATCAGAATAAAATCAAAAACAATATATAAAGATGAATAAATTTTAGATCGAGGAAAAATAAATCAACTTAATTACACATGAAATAATAAATTGATTCCCCTCCCCCCCCCCGCAAAATAGAGAAAAAAAAATTCTCTCAAGAAATATTTATTTTTCACAAAATGCGTTTCGCGGAGAATAAAATCGTAATATAAAACAGATTTCGATACTCCCAGGACGAAGCTTTCAAAATTGGTACGTCTTTACAAAAGAGAGCCTTAGCCTTTACTGAGTTTGTTTTATGTCTCGCAAGCGATACAATCAGAGCCGCGTATATATATATTGTGAATAAGAAAAGGAAAAAAAAAGTATAAAATGAAATTTATTTTCTCTCAAAAGAATACAGTTTGCTTTGCTTATGAAACAATCAGTTTACTAAAGAAAAAAGTCTATGACTGAGAGAGCATGAAATCTTTTACAAACTTGTTTGGAAAATAACCCCACGACAATACTAGCTTTTAGAAAATTATTTTTACAACAAAAGAAAATGAAAAATTACAAAGTTTTTGCAAAATACAGAATGGAGAAAAAATTTCAAAGTAAAAAACATATTCTTTGGAAATGTTTTTTTAAAATATTTTTTCTATCATTTTTTTTTTATAATTTGATACAGTAATAAAAAAAATTTATTTGATTCAGATAACTTGTGTATTATCCAAGTAATTATTTACTTAAATCAAGTTATTTTTTATTTAAATAAAATAAATTTTATTTGAACCAATAATTTCTGTATAGATATTCGAAGCAAATACTGAATAAAAATAATTGCCATTTAATTGAAACAAATAAAAAATTATTTGATTCGAGTAATTATTCATTTGATCTTCATTATACAGTCAACCAAAAATTATTTTTGAATTAACCGAATTGTTTTGATTCAATTTATAATAGGTTTGATTCAATAAAAAAACGTATAATTCAATTATAACATATGTTTAATTCAAACATTTTTTTTTGGTTGGCTACGTATTTTTGGATTAAAAACAAATTTTTCTAAGTTTTATTTTTTATTTATTTTATCTTTTATTCCTTTTATTTGTGAAGAATTCGAATTTTACAACTTACTGACGTGAAAAAAGTTATTTTTCCTCCTTTTGCAATTTCATTTATATTGCAAATAAATATCATGAAAGACATTTAATGGAAAAATATTTTAACAAATATTAGAAATTGGGAAAAAAAAATTCTTGTTAAAATAGATTTTTTTTAAAAATAAAATTAAAATCTATACAAAATAGAGAGTTGAAAATTGTAAAAGAAAATTTACAAGCGTAAAAAGTGTATTTTGAATAGTTGACAGTATATATATAAAGTTGTGAGAAAAGTAAAAATGACGGGAGAAATTTTACAAATGTCAGTAGCAAAGGCGCTGGACCATGACTAGTAAGGGAAAAATAAACAGTTTTATTCATAACAGCCAGACGCAAATGGCTCTCTCAAACGTTATATATAGTCGTCGACGACTTTAGACGGAAGTCGAGATCTTATTTTTCCGGAAAAGGCTCCTTTCGTCACTGGTTTTCTTTCAAAAAATTGCGTTCAACTGTATTTCCTTTGTGCTCCTTATTCTATATCTTGGGCTTATGCTCTTGTGAATTCACACATATGAATTTTTAAAATGACTTTGATAACTGGATGTTTATATTTTGTTTTTATTTTTTTAAGTGTTTCGTTTGTTAAAAATATTTTGCAATATTTTTTTTTTTGTTGGTTTGCTTTAATTTAAATTATTAAATTACAGAAATTAAATTAAATTTAAGTTAGAGGAATTAAATTAAAATTATAAAATGGCTGAAATTAAATTAAATTGAAATTATAGAAACTAAATTAAAATTTTAGTTTTAATTGCATTTAAATTATAGAAGTTGAATTAATATTTGAATTTTATTTATTCCAAAAATTACAGTTATTTTTTTTTTTATTAATATTGATTTTTGTTTATTCATTTATAATATTTATTATTTTTTTAAAATGTACTATATTTATTTATTACATTTTAATATTTTTATTAAAAATCAAAACTACGAGAAAATAGTTTATTTGATTAAAATAAACTATTACTTGTATATTATCAAATAAATATTTATTTGCAACAAATATTGAAATCATTGGTTTAAATACAATTTATTTGATATTAATAAATATTGTATTTGATTCAAGTAAATATTTATTTGATAATACATAAATAATCGGTTATTTAAATCAAATACATTTTTTCAGTTTATTTATTTATTTATTATTATTATTTTATTAAGAATTGAAAAATTAATTGAAATTATAAACAAATTCTTCTATTATATTATTATTTTTTAATATCAGTATTAAGTTAATTCCCTAATTAAAAAAATATTTTTCAACTTTAAATTTCATCTTTCATTCAAATAATGAAGAATAGAAAAAAATGCGTTCGGAAAAAAAATTGTATAAATATTAAGTCGATACTTTTCCATTTACGATAGTTTGAATAATTTTTTTTTAGGTTAAAGTTGTTTTTATTTTTTTTATTATTCTCACTAGAAAGAAGATTTTTAAACTGCAGTGTGAAGGAACATGAATTGTTTATGACATGAAAAAAATACACCATATATGCTTATGTCCACGTCATTTTATTGAACTCTTGAAGGCACTTATGCGCATAAAACTTGCAAATTACCTCCGGCCTTTTCTACTTTCTTTCATAGTTTTTCCCCTTAAAAAATTTTTTACGATCGTTTAACGACTTTCACAAAAGATGCGTTTGTTCATTTTCAGCTATTTGAGAAGCGTAGGAATAAAAATCATTTTTTTTCAATATAGTTTGAATTTTTTTCTTATATATTCTACACTTGGTCTAATTTGTGTTTTTTTTATATTTGAAATTTGACTTTCTGTTATTTTTGTAAAAGTGATTTTTTATTACAATTTTTTTATTAAAATTAAATTCTATTAATTGTAGAGAAATGTATTAATTACTCCCAAGATTTTAATTAGTAAAAATGTTTATTAATTGAAATTAGCGACTGACTTTCGGCTTTTGAATTAGTAAATTTTACTAATAAATTAGAAATTACTATTAGTAGAAATTTAAAATATTAAAAATAAATAGTAATGAAATTAAAATGAATTAAAATAAATTAAAATAAATTAAATTTAAATTTTACTATTATTAGTAGAAATTACTATTTATTAGTAGAATTTATTAATTCAAAAGCAAAAAGTCAATCGCTAATTTAAATTAGTAAACATTCTTACTAATTAAAATTTAGAGAGTAAATTAATTATTATAAATTAAATAAAAATTAATTATTAAATAATTATTTGTAATTATACACCCGGGGAAAGTTTTTCTGTAATATAAAGAAATCAGTTTCTTAAATTCGTTTTGTTTTATTCAAAATAAATTTTTCTTTCAAATAAAAAGATTTTTTGATTTACGTATAATGTCTTTGGTTTAAACAAATTTTCTTTGAAAAAAAACTGTTTTTGAACCAAATAATTTTTTTTAATCAAATAAAATTTTCTTTGAATCAAAGAAATATTTAATTTTAATTTTTTTTTACCTGACTAGTGGTGAATGCTTCGAATTCGGTCTCAGTGTAAGCCACTTCCGTGTCGCCTTCGTATGTACTATTGTCGCTAATAGCAAAGCCCAAAAGGCATATCTGAAACAAAAGAAAATAAAATCTATTAAAATTTTTTTCTTTATTTTTATTTTTTATTTTACTAAATTCAAGAATTTTAATTTATTTCGATTATTTAATTACGTAAAAAAGGTTTTAATTATTACTTTAACTTTCCCTCTTAAATTTAAAATATTGACGCTAATTAAATAATAAATTAAATAATAAATAAATTAAATAAATAAATGAATTAAAATTCTCGAATTTAGAAAAATAAGAAATAAAATAAAATACAAAAATAATTGAAGTTGCTAGTGAAAATATTCCAAGTCGGATAAATGTTTTTTTTTTCTTTGCCTCTTGTACGTCGAAAAAAGTAAGAAAACCCATTTATATTTGCTCATTTTTCTGGGGAGAAAGTAGAAAAACTATTTTCGAGATACATACAAACCAAAGTGTTGTATTTGCGAATGCTATCACGCTTTCTTGAGAAGCACGTACAAAGCGGATAAAAGAAAAAGTGGTCTAATTTAATTTTATAGCCACGAAACTCCTAGAAAGCAGGCATTTCAACTCGAGAGACAAACCTTCCAAAATATACACTCGAGTTGATTTCAAGTTTTGTACATGTCTGCATTCGATTTAGTACACAGAAAAATGTTTATTGCAAATGACTAAATATTTACAATCTCTCTCTTTCTAGACAATTTTTTATTATTTACTCGCAAATTCAAATCAAATAATTTCCCAACACTTTATTTTCTTCTTTTTAATTTATCAACTCTACGTGATGGTTGGTTTACACTCTCACAATTTTAATCTGTCGTTTCCTTTTCTCATTAAAAAGAAAATGATTACTGCTAAAGTTTTTCAAAAGAGTTTAAAATGTAAATTTTTTTTTATTTTTATATTTTTATTTTAAATAGAATTTATTGAGAAATTGAAAGAAAAAACTTTTTCTAAACTTAATTTTTTCAGGATAGCTAGCTATTCAAAATATAATTCTAGTCCTCTTTTCATTCCAAAAAAAAAGAGAAAGCTTTATTAAATAAAAAAATGTTTTTCCATTAAATGTCCGAATGGGCAATTAAAAGTTGATATAAAGAAGCTCGAGGCTATTTTTATAAAAATAAATGAGAAAATATTTTGCAGTTTATTTATCGTAAATAAAGGTAAAAAATGTTTCGTTTAAATTATATATTCTGTTTTTCTTTAATGGGGAAAATGAGTTAAAATTTATTTAAAATAAATTAGAGTAAAAATTATAGTATAAAATTTGTAGTAAGGAAAAAATTTTTTAAATATTTGCACTGGGAAATGTTTGATGTTTGAATCAAACATAGTTATTATTATTAAAGGAGAAGAAGCTATCAATAATCCGAATCAAATTTTTACAAACATATTAAATATCTTAAATAAATCTCTATAAGCTCATAGATTTCACATGTATCGACAGCACAGCTGCCCGAATACAGAAACCTGCTTAATCTGAAAAATATTTTCGAAATTAATTAATAATTTCAAAATTGTATTTTCTTCAATACTGAAATTATTGGTTCAAATACAATTTATTTAATTCAAATAAAAATTATTTGATTCAAGTTTAAATGTTTATTTGTATCAGTCATGTAATTTTCTTGAAATACTGAAACTATTGGTTTAAATAAAATTCATTTGATTTGAATAAAAATGATTTGATTCAAGTTAATATTTATTTGTTAATAGACAAGTAATCGGTTATTTGCAGCAAATAAAAAAAATATATTTAAAGAAGTAAATTAATAAATTCTTTTTAATTTTATTTAATCGAAAATTAATAAATAATTTATAATTTGTAATTGAAATTAGATTCGTAATAATAATTCTAATTATTATAAAATAAAGAATAGAATAATAATATAATATAATATAATAATAATAGTAATAATAATAATAATAATATTTGAAAAATATATAACGAAAGTATTAGTAAATTTCTTGCGGTACATTCTTGGCCTTAATTGTTCCGACAAAGAGGGTAAAATCGTTGAGCATCAAAGGAGTGAAGTGGTTGAATCGTAACGACAAAGTACTTTTGCTCCGTTATTTCTCTTTGCCGCTAGCATCGACATTTGCTCCAAGGAAATTGAAGCAAAACGAAAAAAAAAAATAAAAATAAATAATAAAAATAGCCCAAGTAAAGCGACCGCTTTCAACGATTCCTAAAGCTTCTCTTTCTCTCTCGCTCTATCGCCACATAATCTCCAAGTGGAATTAAGTGTCAAAGGAATAATAATTTTATAGTCTGTAAAACTTATATACCTTTTGGAAATTTCGAGGCTAATTTTCAAACAACATGAGATAATATAAATATTTGTAAAGATTTTGGAATTTTTCTTGGGAATATTTGGTAAATATTGATAAATATTTTACAAATATTTGTAAACGTTTGGAAATATTTGCACTGAGAAATAATTTGTTTGATTCAAATAACCGATTACTTCTCTATCATCAAATAAATATTTACTTGAATCAAATAATTTTTATTTAAATCAAATAATTTTTATTTAAATCAATTAGATGGTATTTGCCTCAAATACTGAAATTATTTATTCAAATATAATTTAATTGATTCAAGTAAAAATTATTTGATTCTAGTAAATGTTTATTTGACAATGGATTTTGCAAAATTTATAAAATTCTCAGTTAAAAAGTATTGATAATCTGAGATTCGGTAGAAAAGCATTTTACACCCCCTTTTTTCTTAAAGATGGAAATTTTTTTTCTTCCCGATCATAAAACAAATTAGGACAACAATTGCTCCTTTGCGTTCGTTTTAAACGACTGCGAAGCTCCAGGTGGAAATTTTACGAGAAACGGTCGCGTAAAGAACAATGTGAAAGAGAAAACAAGCATCCGGGGAATTATTTTCTTGTAGATGAGAAATGCCTTGTTTGCACACTCTCTTTTCGTTTCTCTCTTGTATATACACATCACATCAGTATATTCTTGAGTTCACCTTCTAGCACCTCCAGTTAACCCATGCCGTCGATATGCGTTATTTCAGGCACGTTTTTCCCCCCGAAAGAACGTCCGGAGAATATTTTTCGATTTAATCGCAATCCGCCCTCAGAGACTTGTAGCTATGTGTGTTTGTGTTTGTGTATGTATGCCGAAGCAACGGCATGTCGAAAGAAACTGGATTTTCTCCACCCGTTCAAATATGTCGAATCAAATCGTTTCCATTCCCTGCAATATTTTCAGACTTTCTGCAAATGCCACCTTAGTCCGAGAGAGACTCAAGAGTTATAGAATCTCGTATTAGCATTTTTTTATTGTAATGTTAAACGTATTTTTTTAAGATGCAAATAATGTGAAAAAAAATATTCATCTGGAATAAATATAAATTTGACTTTATTAGAAAAATTTTTATTTCCATTACCCACAGGTCAGGGAATTCAGGAAAAAGTCAGGGAAAGTAGAATTGGTCAGGGAAAAGTCAGGGATTTTTTTTAAAAGTACCCAATGGGAAATTTACAACTGGCGTAGTACTGCGCCAGCACTGGCAGCACTGGCGGCAAGGCTGAGAGCCAGCACTGGCATGGCACTGGGATGATAACGCCGTCTGGCGCTGCCGAAGTACTGTCTGTCAGTGCTGCCAGACAGCGCTGGCGCAGCACTGGACCAGTGCTGGCTGAGAATATTGCCGCAATAAATGCCGTATTGTCATTAATTAGTCGTAAATTCATAATTATAAATAATTTAACAACAAAATGGTAAATAATATTAATAAATAGTTATTATTCATAAAATATTTCTCTTCTTAAAGAAATTGTATTAAAGATGGAGACTAACAATGGATATAGTAAATGAAGTAGAAAAAAATTGTTTATAACATTTAAAAATTAAATAATAAACAATTACAGTAAGTGTGCATTAGATTTTCATATTTTAGTACCTAACGATTGGAATCTAGAAATATCGCAAACCTATGAAAATAAACAAAATTGCTGACGAGGGGAATCGAACCTACGACCTACGGACTAACAGACTAACGCTCTAACCACTATGCTAACGACACGTGTGTGCAGTAAAATTTTAATATCTCAGTATCATTCAGACATACAATTATTGAGTCAAAGATGAGAAAAAAATAGGGATACGTTAGAAATAATAAATTGAAATAAAATAAATTAAACTAAATTTTTAAAAATTAAATTACTTTACTTATTGCATTTAACATTTTACGTAATTCTTAAATTACGTGGTAATTAAGTATAATAGTATTTTAATAGGAACAAAATTATTATTGAGATTAAAGTTTAAATTTTGTTTATAATTTTAATTTGTTTAAATAATTTATTATTTACAAAATTAGACAATTGTGTTAAATTGTTATTATTAAATTTAATAAGAATAAAAAATGAACAACTGAAAAGTAAAATATTAATTTTTTTCAATAAATTTATATTTATAAACATTCATAAACTTTTTTATAATTTTTTTCAAGTTTATGTCAAAAAAGCAATGTTGGCAAAGAGCGTTGTGAACAATTTTTCTATACTCAGCCAGCACTTGCCGCCGAGCCTTGTCCAAGCTTTGGCGAAACAAAAATTCTGTACTGCGCCAGCACTAATTGTCGAGGCTCGGCTAGACTACGCCGAACAATCGTCTGAGTACTAAGCCAGTGGTGAACATCGGCACTACACTGGCATTTCCCATTGGGTACTGGAAAAAATGAACTGTTTAGAATTTAAAGAAAATTCTGAATTTTTGTGTCTTTTTGTTTGCCTCAATGCTTTATAAACTATGAAATTACCACGAATTTTAAAAAAACCTTAAATTTATTCTATTTCTGACAATAATATTCAGGAATTTTTATATAATTACCTATAATAATTTGAATGTTCTTTCATTCATTCACTTTTTATGTCCCTCACACTCTGAAGTTGTCTTTTGTTTATACTTTTGTTTTTTGTTAACTTTAGATTGTATATTATATCATTATGTTATAATTATTTTTATTTTATAATTAATTCAAAATTGTAATGACAAATAGAAAT